TCTCTCTCTCTCTCTCTCTCTCTCTCTCTCTCTCTCTCTCTCTCTCTCTCTCTCTTTCTGTATGCCTCTGGTGTCCTTCCCATTCTTTGTCTGTAAACCTATCTGTAGATCCTCCTAAATGTTGCTCCAGCTGTCCATACTCCTCTTGATATTCATTTGTGCGCCGTTGTTTGACCGTGCTCTCTCTTGTTCCTTTGCATCGCCATCTCTCTCTCTCTCTCTCTCTCTCTCTCTCTCTCTCTCTCTCTCTCTCTCTCTCTCTCTCTGTGTATGTGTCCATTTATTTTTAACTCTCTCTTGCCGTCTGCTCCAGTTGGGATCCTATCATGGTTCGATCTGTCTATACTTCTGCTCGCTTCTATCACTGTAAATTTCTTTAGCTCTCTCTGTCTCTCAGACTCTGTGCCTGCATCTTCTTATCTCAGTAAATCTCTTTCCATCACTCTCTATCTTTCCCCCTGTTTCCTCTCTTTCCCACTTCATTTTTCCTGCTGCATGTCCGCACTTCTCTCGCACCATATCTCTTATTTGCCTCATGATCCTCTTTCCCTTTTTCCCTCTCCACATCTCCGCCTTTTATCTATGTTTTTATCTCTATTGTGTTCCCTCTTCCACGCCACATCTCTGGCTCTTCATAGCCGTCGCTCTATGTCCCTCTACGTGTTCTTCTTCCCTCCTTCATTCCTCTATATCTCTCTATCTAGCTCCGTCGCTGTGGATTTCTGCGCCTCTTCCCATCTTCCTCCTCTCCTGATCTCCCGATCTCCGCATCATCCCATCTTCCCATCTCCCCGCTTCTCTACATCTCTCTCCATCCGTCTGCATCTATTCAATTTTCTCCTCCTCGTCTCTCTTCCTTCCTATCCCTCGCGTCTTCATCTATCTCTCATGTCTTTTCATATCGTTTTTTTCTCTCGTCATTTCCTGACATATCATCCTTGATGATTTTTATTTGCATCTTTGATTCCTCATTTTTACTCCCATCGCGATTTCCTCAATCTATTTTCCACATCTCCCATCATCTCTTTCCGTCTCGTTCTCTTGCCTTGCCTTCCTCTCCTCTCCTGTCTCTCAAGCTCTGTATGTCTGTTCATGTCTCTCTTCGCCCGTCTCATATTTAGCCCCATCCCCATCTCGTCCTCTCTCATAGGTATCCCTCTGTGCCCCATCTCTCGTATTTTCCTTGTACTCTCTCTCCCTCCCTCCCTCTCTCTCTCTCCTGCAATCCTAATGGCTTTCCGTCTCTATTCGCATCTCTGCACTTCTCTCTTTTTCTCCGTTTCATCCCTTTTTCTCTCGATCTCTCTCTCCATCCTTCTCTCCATCGCATCTCTCCGTCTCTCATCATTTCTACCTCCTTCAAGACTCAATGAAATCTCTTCTTATGTATTTTAGTTGTTCCCCCATCCTTCCATCTTTCGCTTTGCCCTCATCTTTCCTCTCAAATTTTTGTTACGCCTTCCCATCTCATCCTGATCTTGCGACCCCTCTTCTTGCAGCTCTTCCCTGTTCACTTCTCTCTCCCTCCATCGCCGTCCATCTCCGTCCCTCTCCGTCCATCTCCCTCCGTCCATCTCTCTCTGTTCATCTCCCTCCATCTCTCCCCCTCCCATCTCTCCCCATCGCTCTCCATCTCTCCCCGTTGTTCACTATCTCTCTCCTTTACTGTTAATCTCCGCTTTGCACATCTTGCCACATCATCCATGTCGTGATTGACGAATCCTTCCATGTTCTGCGTTAGTAGTTGTGATAGCTGTGCCTTTTACTTGGGAGCAGCCATGTAAGCATCTCTGCTCCCCTCTACCGGGGTGAGATTTCTCCGTCGCTCTCGTCCTTACGTCTCGTTGTTTCTTGTCATCTGTGTTTGCTTAACAACTCCCTCCTCCTCCCGCTTTGGCGCTTCCCTGCCAATCACTCTGTCCAGTCAGCCCCATCTTCTGAGCTTTACCTTGCATCAGTCTGTCAAGCAAAATAGTGTTAGCAGGGCAGGGACGGAAAGAACGGATAGAATTTGTTCTGAAAGTGAGAAGGGTGTATACACTACTATGCAGCACCCTTTTATTTGTGCACCTCTCAATGCATAGCCGCGGCGTTGGTGAAGGCTTTTGACAGACTGTGGATTGCACGCCCCGCTCTACTTCTCCCTGTCATCTACCTCCCCCCCGTCCATCCCTCGTCCTTCGCGCATCTGAGAAATGACGAGTGAGCACTTCAGCAAGTCGCACAAAACAAATGTGCGGGCCGCTTTTGTTCCGGTCTCTCTAGAAGCGGTCGTAGTAACTGGTCCGAACTCGCTGCAGTGGGCCGCGGAAAGAAGGACATTTGTATGCTGCTGTGTGGGGGCGAAAAGAACGGTCTCGGTCTGCCTTGCGCTTTGTGCTCTTTTTCTTCATTTGTTTTGCGACGTCTGTGAAACCTGACGACACAGTCTGTCACAGCTGCCGGCCCCCCTCCACACCTGTTTCTCCCTTTTGCCCACAGTTTACAGGGCAGGTCTCCTTGACAATGTGCCTCGCTCCACGACTCACCAAATGTGCAACATGAGAATCTTCTGAACATGAAAAGGTACACCTGCATATTTTATTATTTTTTGTCGTTTGCGCATGTTGTGAGTAGTGGAGTGAGTCCCAATATATATGTTCTGTAGTAAGAGAAAGAGGAAAATTCTAGAGTGCACATGATTCCCAAATCAAGGATCATCTCACCCTTTTCTGAACTGCTTGCTGATGCTAACTACCATCTTCCCCCGAACATAACGCATATGTGTTGTAAACGAATACAACACGTGTGTGTGTGTGTGTGTGTGTGTGTGTGTGTGAGAGAGAGAGAGAGAGAGAGAGAGAGAGAGAGAGAGAGAGAGAGAGAGAGAGAGACACACACACANAGAGAGAGAGAGAGAGAGAGAGAGAGAGAGAGAGAGAGAGAGAGAGAGAGAGAGAGAGAGAGAGAGAGAGAGAGAGGTTCTGCTTGTGGGTTGGTGATGCAGTTGTTGTAGAGGTGCCTGTGATGTTGTGGTATCTGTTCATCCAAGCACTCCTCTGAAGCAACAAATTGATTAATTGATGGTGAATGATGGACGGATGGACGGATGGACGGATGGATGGTTGTGCTGAACAGATTGGGCAAGGGACGTACAGTAATGTGTACAAGGCAAGGGATTTAGAAGATGGGCAGCTTGTTGCTCTGAAGAAGGTTCGGTTTGACAACATGGAGCCGGAGAGCGTACGATTCATGGCACGAGAGATTGAAGTGTTGAGGAAGCTGGATCATCCCAATATTGTCAGATTGAAGGGGCTGGTGACGTCCCGCGTCTCCTGCAGCTTGTACCTGGTGTTTGAGTACATGGAACATGATTTGGCTGGCCTTGCTGCTTGCCCTGGTGTGCAGTTTCATGAGTCACAGGTTGGTGTTACATGCGCCGCATTTGCCGCCCCATTCCGTGTCGTCCTTTTGCTGTCTCAGTCAGTACTATTTCCAGGCTTGGACCTCCTCCGTGCACGCATGGATTCAAACCGGCACCCGCAGCCTCGAGAGACACATCCTACCTCTTTGCTTTTCTCATCCTTGCGCGGGGGCCATATTGTTTCACCTCTAGCAGATGTCTGGAAGGACACCCGACATCCTACTCCCTTGCCTACCGTTTACAACGAATATGCATCATGTTCGCGGGAAGACGGTAGTTCCAGTAGTCATCCACGTTGTCTGACGGGGGATGTGCTTTGTGCGATCAATGTCACTGTCGTCGGAGCTGAAGTGTGAGGATCTTACTCTGCAGGATTGCACAGTGACATTGGGCTTGATTCACTACTCGACATTGAAATTCGCATGTGCCAAGACATTGAGGAAACCAGGCCACGAAGTGGCAACAGCAGCAGAAGCAGCGAAGCGCACTGCGGACTCAATTCAACCCAGAGGGCATACGATGGAACTGGTGGGCATATCTTTGCGTTCTTTTCGTTTCTGTCGAAACCGGAAAGACGCACTCCGCCATTTTGCAAGTTTGGCGAGCAGTGGAGTGAAGCCCATTGTTTTTTCACTTCAACCATGGTGTACCGCTTTCTGTTGGTGCCTTCACGTGTATATATAGAGTGCTAAACACCAATCAAAAGGATCGCACGAAAACAAAACGGCGAAGGTGCAAACTACATCACCGACGATTCACCATCTTGTGAGCGGAAGCAGGAGTTATCCCCACACTGCCTACCGTCTTCCCCGGAAACAACGCACCCTCACAATGGCTGTACCGCACCCTCACAATGATAGCGTGTATACATTAATTATTAGGGTGCGTTGTGTTCGGGGGAAGACGGTTGCACAGAAGCATTGCAATGTACCTTGCCCACATTGTACTGCACCGACTTGCAGTGACCCCTCCCTCTGGTATCTGCATGCACAGACGCTAATACGTACGGTCGTGTAACACCAACCGACTGGACTGCATCAGTGATGATGAGCTCCAAGAAGAGGAGAAGTCAACAAAGGAGTGAGTTGAAATCACCCACTACCTTTCCCAAGAAGGCAATGTCGAGAAACGGAAATGTAACATTCCGGGTTCTTCGGATGAACGGTGCTACCAGATCACAATGGCTGGTGGTGCCAGCCGAAATGAGAAAAAAAAAGAGAAACGTCTCGCTGACTCTTCGATAAAGGTTGACGTACAGTTCTTTTCTGGCTCGGCAAAACGAGGCTAGGAGGTAGTTGCGGCTTAAACCACCAGTACATGGGCCCCCAGGCCGCCGGTATGACACCTCAAATTCTGAAGGCACGAAACGAAAACGGGGCTGCTGATCGAATTTATCAGCGGCGGGCCCAGCGTTTGACGTTTTGGTCTCGTTTTCTTGTGGCAACAATTTCGGACTGCAAGGCGGGGGCCGTGTACTTGTGGTTTAAGCACTCAGAAGAGGAGAGCGGTATTGCACGCGCAGTGAAGTAAAAAAGTAAGGGGTTAACCTGCTTGCCCCTTGGTGTATCTTCCCTCAGATCTTCATCATTTGAAGTTTGCGCATCGATGCTTGCCACTGCTCGCAGTGCGCAGACATCCTCATTGACCACACCTTTTTGCTGTAGTTCCTTTCTGTGAGTGCTGATTGGGTGAAGGATAGTATTCAGCATGTGTTTTTTTGTTTTTTTAAGCGTTTTTTTTCTTTTATATACCTTTTTATTGATTCAAATGGGGTCTGATGACGACGGATCAGATATTAAACCACCAGTATCTTTCCTAGCTATTTTGTTCCACTGCGGCCGTTCGCGCTCTGCATCTCTCGTTCCTCGTCGTACTGGACTGAAATGGCTGGCCGTGCCAGGCCAGAAAACAAAGTCCGCACAACAGCGGCTCCGCACACCTGGCGGCTCACATTTTACGAGTGCAACAGCGGAAATCCGTGTCGGGGAAAAGAGGCTCGGAGGTACTGATGGTTTAAACCAAGCAGAGCGGATACTACACTCGATCTTGGCCAAAAGGTCAAGAAACAAGTCTGATGAAACAGTCTGTGCAGTTGACCTTTGTGGAGCTTAACGGATACAAAACACAAAATATACTTCTTTTTTGGAGCGGATGCTACACGCGTATCTTTCTGTGGAAAACGGGAATGCATCTTCCCGCAAAAGATGCATTCCCGTCTTTCAAAGAAACGCACTCTGAGTGTGTGTGTGTGTGTGTGTGTGTGTGTGTGTGAGAGAGAGAGAGAGAGAGAGAGTGGCGCAACAAACCCTCCCTCTCTCCCTCTCTCTCTCCCTCTCTCTCTCTCTCTCTCTCTTTTGAAGGCACCATGTGCGCTGCTGGTTTTCTCTTTGCCTGTAGGAAAAGTGCTTATTTTTTCTATGATTTTTTTCTTTTCGTTTTTTTCTTTCACGTTTTCACCCCCTTTTCACGTGCTTTTGGGCACGACCGGGAGCTGGCCTTCCCGACCCCCGTTTACTGCTGCGCGTTAACGGCTGCGTCGCTTTTTTTTGGCTGGGTGAGGTACTGGAGGTTTAATGCCCCCCTCATAGCATACCCAGGTACGTGACGGGCTGCATTGGGGGGCATAAAAAAGACCAAGTAAAAAAAGTGTTACGATCCTGGTCATTTCCCAAGTGCAAATTCACAATGAAAGACAATGCCACCCAATTGCGAAAGAAATGAAAGCACTTGCAAAGAGATAAAGACCAGAGGAGAGGGAAAGAAGAAGAAGAAGAAGAAGATATACACCAGCAAGACCAATGACAATTTCCCCCTTCTCTCTCCACCTTCCTCCTCCTCCTTCACTTCACCAATCTTATTCTTCTCTCAATAATAATAATAACA